TGCTTGACTGATTTCGGAAGCTTTGGTTAGTGCCAAGGTGGATGAGGGATCTTGGGCGAAGTTTGCGTTCCTGGGCGCAGGGGGGAGTGCTGCCGTAGCAGAGCCCGATGCGATGCTACTTTCCCTAAACCCCAAATCCTAGACACAAAACCCTAAACCCTACCTGTTTTGAAGGGGCCCGGCTGTCGGAGAGCAGGCCAAAGAGAGGTGCTGAAGCCCGTTTCCTCTCAGGGCTTGCTGCCTCGGTGCGTCGTCGCCACCCCTTTCTGTGGGTGGCAGCCGGACAAGCGTGTACGTGTCTACATCAACTTTTGTACGGGTTGTCAAGGAACCCCACCTCGAAAATTTGGGAAGAGGAGTGCCGCTCCGGGGTCCGAGGTATGCGTGCACACAGTACTGGGCTGAAGGCAGCCACTATGGCCTTGAACTTCCTTGAACCACCCCACAACCCTCAACCCTCAACCCTCAACCCTCAACCCTAACCGCTATACCCTAAACCCTACACCCTAAACCCTAAATAAAGCCTATACCACGACCCCATGCAGCCTCAGGGTCGGTGGACACCCGGATGTCTCCTTCGGAGCCCCAGTCGGGGCCTCGCTCCCAGGGGCCTGCAAGCGTAAGATCCCCAAACCCTCACCTCGAAAAACTGAAGCCCTAAACCCTAAACCCTAACACCCTAACACCCTAAAACCCTAAAACCCTAAAACCCTAAAACCCTAACACCCTAACACCCTAACACCCTAAAACCCTAAAACCCTAAAACCCTAAAACCCTAAAACCCTAAAACCCCAAAACCCTAAATTGTAAAGAAGGGACTATGACAGGAGCCCGAATTGTGCAAGCGGTGGCCTTTGGCTTCAATACTCCGTTGAGATTTTGCGCATGTGCTTGGGAACACGGAGCCCTGTAGCATTTAGGGTTAGGGTGTAGGGTTTAGGGTTTAGAGTTTAGGGTTTAGGTTTAGGGTGTAGTAGGGTGTAGGGTTTAGGGTGTAGGGTGTCGGGTGTAGCGTTTGGGGTTTAGGGTTTAGGGTTTACGGTTTAGGGTTACTATGATGGGTTCATGTTTCCCCTCCGAACGATCACCAGCCCCAAGCCCAAGACCCAGCCACGCCTGTCAGCAGATCGGGAGTAGTGCCTCGGGAATCGCTCAAGTCTGGGGTTTACAGTCTAGAAAGGTTCGACTCGTCTGCACGTGCTCGACGCGGATCACAGAGTCGGGAGCGGCATGCTGCGTAGAGCCCAAGAAACGAACGAACTATGAACAAATGATTGAATGCACTCGTACACACACACACACATATATATATATATGTATATATCTACATATCCACTACTACATCTACTAAATGTGTACAATACATGTTTCTTTGAAACCCTAAACCCTAAACCCTAAACCCTAAACTTTAAACCCTAAACCCTAAACCCTAAACCCTAAACCCTAAAGCCTAAACCCTAAACCCTAAACCCCAAACCCTAAACCCTAAACCCTAAACCCTAAACCCTAGCTGGAGTGCCTCTGGTGCTTCATGCGATCGCGTACCTCCCTACATCTTCATAGCTCCATGATTGAAGGGGAAGGCTAGAAGCCCTAAACCCTACACGTTAAACCCTAGAGCCCTTTGGGGTTCAGGGTTCTACCCTTTAGGGTGTTTAGGGTTTAGGGTTTAGGGTCACTTCATACTACGTACCACGCAAGACAAGTCGTACTTGGCATGCCCGTTCCGCGCCTCCTCTGCCCTCGTGCCTTCCAGGGAGTGAACATGCTGCCTACTTGGAGGTTCATGGTACTTCTAACCAATTATGACTGTACTTATAACCCTACTTATAATACCCCTAAAGGGCCTTATGGGGGTTATCCCAATTATAAGTAGGGTTGTAAGCCCAGTTATAATTGGTTAGCAAGTACCATGAACCTTCAAGTACTTGGAGGTTCATGGTACTTGTTAACCAATTATAATTGTACTTATGACCCACTGATAAGCCCCTTAAGTGCCCGAATATGGTTATAAGTACAGTTGTAAGTACAGTGATAATTCGTTATTAAGTGGCAAGAACGTCCAAGTAGGGTTTGGGGCTTATAGGGGTATAACAGGGGTATAATCGTGGTTAATAGGGGTTAACAGGGGTTAAGAATTGGGGTTATTCTGGGGTTAACAGGACTTCGTGTTTTGGGTATCTTTCCAAGGGTTGAGGTTTGAGATTCTGGGCAAGGGTTCGGGGTAGGTGCGCTTTAGGGAAGCTTTGTGGTTCCGACCCGGGGGGTTCCGAAATGAGGGGCACCTTTTTTGGGGTCCTCATTTTTTTAGGGATCCTACGATTTGGGGGTCCATTTTAGGGGTCTCCTAAACCCTACACCCTACACCCCAAACCCTAAACCCTAAACCCCTGGTTTCGTCAACTCCCACCTGATGTAGCCAGAATTGCAGCAGAAGTTGGCATCCTGCTCCTCCTCATCCCCAATGTACCAGTAGCCGTCATTCCCTGCCTGAGGGGGGACCCAACTTCGCTTGTATGTGTGAAAGTATGGGGCATATGGGGGCTCCTCCGCGGGTCATATAGTAAATGGGGTTTTTTTGGGGGGGGGGGGGGTTATTGTAGTATTATATGAGGACCATAAGGGAATGTGAGAAGCAGTGATTCCGAACACTGTATTAGGGTCATGGGTTTGGGCCACTGATCTGCAAGGATTTTGCTTTTTGCAGAATCTCACCTTCCCTGCAAAGAGACAAGGCGCCGCTTCTGGACTATGAACAGTCCCAAGCTGTGTTCAGGATTTAGGGTTGCTCGTTTGACTTCAAGCTCTTGTAACTCTAATTTTCTTCTTACTTATTCTTCATTGTTGTTTGTTATGCATTCTGATTATTCTTTCTTCTGAGCTAGCTCACCAATCTCTTTGTCCCAGTGGCGTAGAGGAATCGATCACCCCGCTCGTTGATCCACAGTGGCTGGCCGTTGGGAGTAGTCCCTTTCACCAGCTCCTTGGTGTGGGCCAGCGAGATAGGACTTGCTCCAACCTAAACCCTAAACCCTAAACCCTAAATCCGAAACCCCTGAACCCTCTAAACTGGGAGGTGCTTCCAGCCTTTGCAACTTACAGTTCAAGAAGCTCCAAGTCAAGTCGAAAGCCACCGAGGCCCGAGCGTAGGGGCCAGTGCACTTGACCTGGTCTTGCGTCCTGAGATCTATGTGTTGGAAACTGGGGGTGTAACTGGAGGCTTGCTAAGAAAACAGTGCTTTGACTGCGTCACCTGGCATACCTTTGTTGAGCACAAGCCGAAGAGGCCCGAAGAGACTCGGATGCACAATGATGTAGGCAGAGGTTTCGGAAGGCTTGCTTTACTACATGTCACGTGAATTCGTGGCTAAGGACCTCACCAGGTGAGGAAGATTTATCAGCCAGGTCACCCATGCGGCACTCTTGGCACCAGCACGTACAACTTTTCGGGTGCGCCACTGGAGTTCTTGACTTGCCCTGGCACCAAGGGCGTCTGGAAGGCCTCTCAGACTGCTCCGAATATGCCAGAGAGGAATCATCACTGAATCGCTAGCCGCTAGCTAGCCTCCACGATAATATGCTGAATGGGCTTGCCGAAGGTGCCAATCAAAATGATTCCTATCACCACCACTAGCTCTACATTCCAGCGCACCTTAACTCAGGGAACGTGAAAAACCTTGAGAGGTAAGCCGTGTAAGGAACGGAGCTTTTGAGAGTGGCTGTGTTCATTCAGATGCAAAGTCATTGACTTCGTGCTGGTTCAATTTGGGCTCCAAGCTCAGCTTCTAGTTGAGGCTTTTCGGGGTCTGGGTTTAGGGCGTAAAGTTTAGCGTTTGGGGCTAAGGGTTTCTGATCGAACCACCACCTCACCAAACGCGTAGCCCTAAGCCTGAGCCTCAACCCTAAAGCTCAACGCCAGACTGCCAAGTAACCTAGAGGAAAGCTGGAGCCCCGTATTTGTTTGGCGGGGTCCAGAAGATGTCTGATCCCTGCTAACAAAACACCAAAAAGTGCGTACTGCTCTGGGTCCAAGGGCAAATCAAGTTACCCTTAATCCAAAAGCCTCCAAGCCCAAAAACCCGCATGCTGCATGCCGCTAAACCTAAGCCCGAAGCCCTCCGACCTTGGCTTCGCGCGCCTGGCTCTCCACCTGTGCTCCATATGCGATATTTGGAAGTTTGGGTTGGGAGGGTTTAGGGTTTAGGGTTTAGGGTTTAGGGTTTAGGATAGCATTGGGGGTTTAGGGCTGAAGCTTCAAACCGTTTAAGGTTGAGGCTTTCGGGGCCCGAGAACCCTCAACCTGAACCCTAAACCCCGACAACAAATGTCAGCATATCCTGAAGTGGCGGCCGGTTTTGCATTAGGGTTTAGGGTTTAGGGTTCATCCCTTCAGAGGAACATCTTCGATGTCCCGGAGTTCTAGAGTGGGGGGCCCATGGGATGCAAACCCAAAAAGCTTGGTTCCCCCTGTAAGCTTGGAACCTAAACCCTAAACCCTAACTAAATCCCAAAGCCAAGGCCCTAAACCCTGAAAAGACCTAAACTCCAAACCCTAAACTCACCCCAACCCCCCCAAAAAACGGGAATGATGGTACTACTGGGCGTCCCAATGCAGCTCTTCCCCCCCCCCCCCCCCATAAAACTCAACCCTTAGGGTTTAGGATTGAGCGTTTAGGGTTTACCCTAAACCACAATCCTACAACCTCAACAGTAAACCCGTAAACCTCGTAAACTTTCGTAAACCGTAAACCCTACAAACCCCCCTACAAACCCCCAAAATCTCAAGCGCCCTCTAAAACCCCCATGAACCCCCTCAAGTCCCCATCTAAACTCCCCCAAAACCCCTCTCTCCCATAAACCCTGTAAAAAACACCCGCTAAACCTTAAACCCCCTACAACCCCTACCCGAAAACCCTAAACCCTAAACCCTAAACCCTGAACCCTAAACCCTAAACCCTAAACCCTAATCCTAAACCCTAAACCCCCGAAAACCTCAACCCTTAACCCTCAAAGATCCCGGCCTCGACCTCTGGCTGCGCCTCTAGGTCACTCAGCTCCATGCCTCTCAGCTTAAGGTTTTGTGGGCCTCTTCTCTCCCCCGAAGACCTAAATTTAAGTATATTTTATGGGGGTTTTGTAAGTGAACAAGTTAGGGTTGGGGGCCTCCCTCCAGGCCTTCTGGAGCTTTATTCTGGCGCCTTTTTGAAGTCTCCCGATGCGTCTTGGGGTGCCTTTTGAACTTTTGAAGCCCATCGGAACCTTTTGGGAAGCTTTTGGGGCTTTTGGGAGTCTCCCGCTGGGCTTCGGGGGGAGGTTTCGGAGGCCTTTTACCTTAAGTGCCCTAATATGGTGATAAGTACAGTCATGAGTACAGTTATGTAATTGGTTAAGAAGTAACATGAAGCTCCAAGTGGGGTATCCCGGGCCCTTTGAGCCTTCCCGCGGGAGGCTTAGATCAATTTGCTTAAACTCGGTTTTGGCACTTTTTTAGTCTGCGGCGCCAGCTTGTTCAGACTTGTAAATTCAGAATGGTATCACATACAATTTCTATGTATTTTGTCTGGAGGGTTTAGGGTTTAGAGTTTAGTGTTTAGGCTCAGGGAGGCTTAGGGGGTTTAGGGAGGGTTACAGGGTTTCTTAGGGTTTCAGGCTGTTGGGTGGCATCGGGTGTTTGGATTGAGGCCACATTCGACTGTTCATGGTGAACAGCTGCTCTGGATTTCGGGGTGCAGGGGCTGAGGCAGGTAACCCTAAGACCGCGAAGCCCCAAAAACCCTAAACTTCAAAACGCACACCACCTGAATCGAAGCCCCAAAACCTCAAACAACTACCCAACACTCCCAACACCCTAAATCAGCAAACCGTCAACGAGTCTTTGAGGTTCTCAGGGCCTAAACCCTAAATCCTAAATCCTCACCCTAAACCCTAAACCCTAAACCCTATACCCTATACCCTAAACCCTAAACCCCTAAACCTTAGGGCTTCTGAGGGCCCAGAGGATGACCTGAGGACTTGAAGGAACTCGGGATGGAAGGAATTTGGGGCTTCGGGCTTCTTTAGGGTTTAGGGTTTAGGGTTTAGGGTTTCAGCTAGACCCAGGAGAAACCAAGGAATACGAAAGGGTACCCTTTTGGGTTTAAAGCGGGTTCCACGAAAACCTGAAAAAAAGGGAACAAGGTCCTCCTCTGGGTCCTAGCAAGGGCTTTCTGAGGAGCTTTAGGGGCTTTAGGGAGCCCTACGGGGCTTTAGGGGGGTTTAGGGGGCCTTAGGGGGTTTCGGATTTTGGGGCTTTAGGGTTTTGGGGATTTGTGGTTTTGGGGTTTCAGGGCTCTGGATACAAAGGCTCAGGGCATCAAGAAAACCAGGCTTTGCTTTTGCAAGCCCTAGCTTGGTGCCGAGAAGGGAAAGGGGGTTGCTTTTCCTCGGGTGGCATGGTTGAGGGCCACTTGGTTTCGGAAAACCCAAAACAGAAACTCTTGCAAAAGTGAATCCCTTGTTGGGCCGTAAGGCATCTACGTAAGCCCTACGGCCTTTCGGCTTTAGATGCCTATGGGGTCTATAGAGGTCTGGGGGAGTAGGCTTCTCCCAAAGGCCTAGAATAGCAGAAGAAGCCCTTGAAAAAGCCTTACGCCCCCAATTGATGGCTTCCAGTCAGGTGTCACGCGCGGAGCATGGCCGTGAAGACTTTGGCGGGCAATCCCTGGGGCATTGAGTTGACAGCTCGAAGCTACCCTCAACCCTCAACCCCGAATCCTCGGATTTTCTAAGGTGGTGTTGCGGTTCAGGGAGACTTTTTAGGAGGCTAGAAAGGCGTAAGTGGCGTAAGGCGTAAGGCTTTAGGGTTTCAAAGGTTTATGGCTTTAGGGTTGTGGGGAGGCTTCTGGGCTTGACAGTGGGTGTTTGCTACTGTTCAGGGTTCGGTCATAGGTATAGGCATTGGAGTGTCAGGCTTGGAGGTTCCTAGTTTGGGGGTGTTTGAAGGCTTGGAGGTTAGGAGTTGGGTCCCGCTTATGAAAGCCCCCTAGGTCCTCCAAGTAGGTGATAAGCAGGTCTATAATTGGCGGTTCGCGTATGAACCTCCAAGCAAGCCCTCTTCCAGTTCAGCTCAAAGCCCCCTGAAAACCCGCCCCACCCCCCCCCCCCCCAAAGGCCCAACAGAGCAAGCCCTCCCTTTTGGCGCTTCGCGTTTAGGCTCTCGGGCATGTGGGATTTAGAGTTCAGGGATTGTTCCCCGAAATCCTCGACCCCAAGCCCCAGGCCCTAAACCCTAAACCCTAAACCCTAAACCCTAAACCCTAAACCCTAAACCCGAAATCCTAAACCCTAAACCCTAAACCCCAAAACAGACCCCCAAAACCCAGGCCGGCTTTGAAACAACTAGGCTTCCCTCGGCTTGCCCAGGCCACCTCAGAGGCCTCGGGGCCCAAAGCTCTCCGGCAGTTGTGGAGCTTAGGGTTTTCAGGGTTTAGGGTTTAGGGTTTAGGGTTTAGGGTTGAGTTTGGGGTCCATGGGTTTTTTGCTTAGGGTTTATTCGGGTCTAGGCCCGAAATCTCCTGCACCCCGAATCTCCCAGCATCTGCACCTTCTTGCCCAGCATGCTGAAGCCCAGCTCACAGATCTCCAGTGTTCTCACTTTGGCCTGGCTCAGAAGCCCAAGGTGCAGCGTGTTTGAGGGGATTAGGGTCCTGGGGCTTTGGGATTCCAAGCTACTAGGGCTGTGGGGTTTGGGGGTTAGGGGATGGTTGGGGCCTTTTGCTCCTTCAAGTTGTTACCCCTCCTGGTTTGAGGCTAGGGTTTGGGGTTGGATACCAAGAACCAACACGTGGATGTCGATTCCCAGTGCAGATGGACGAATCAGCCTCATGAATATAGATGGCACAGCTTCCCTGACATCGTGGAGCCTTTCCGGGCTCGCCCGTGCGTCCCACGAAGTAGTCGAAGCGGATACCTGTGGGAATGCGGGAGCAACCCCTGAAGCCTTGTGTTGATAGTGCTGAACCCTGAACCCCTGAGGCTTAAACCCGAAAGGGTGCAGGGTGGTGCGGGGGCTTGCTGCGTACGAACTCTTTGAGCACCGCCCCTTTCAAGCTGGAAAAGGCTTGGCAACTGTACTGGTAGTCATCTGCTGCCAACAGCAATGCATGGTAACAGACTCTGCAGCCCGCACATTCCCTAAACTCTAAGCGCACAAACCAGAAAGCCCGAGCTCCTCCTCAGAAAGAAATTAATAGTAATCCAGACAATGGTAGCAATAGTCATACCAGATAAAAGACGGTTTGATGCTAAGCACAATTATACTTCCATCAAAGTAGCCTACGAAACAGGACTAAGTGACCGAAGATGCACCCGAAGCGTGTTTAGGGCTTCAGGCCTGGCGGAGTCTGGCAGGTCTGCAGAGAAACCCAGTCCATCCAGTGGGCCGTGATCTCCCTTTCGAGCGATGGTTAGTGACACTTGGGGGGTTGTTCTAAATCAGAAACCCCCTCCCCACCCTAGAGGCGCCTTGTGCCCTAGGACTCCTACTGCAAGAGCCCCACGAGTCTCAGGATACGACCGTAGAGAGCACTTACCGTGAGCAACGAGGCGTTCACGTGCCCTGACCATGCTAAGACCGTTAGGGTTTGTGCTTGGACGTTGAAAGACTTGCAGTGATTCGAGGGCCTCACGGAACTCACTTGGCTGCGAACTTAAGACGACAAAGGACGGACCCCAAAGCCACCGTGCAATTCTGACACCTGGCCTTCGGCCCTCCAACTCGAGACCCTTAAACTCTAGACCCAAGAGTAACCTGGGCATAGTAAGGGTGCCTGTTTCGGCTTAAAGGGGTTTAAAGATTTATAAGGGAAACTAAACCCTAAAGAACGGGACTCTGGGACCCGTGAACTGATGCCATCCTTCACAAGAGACAAGCATCTCTGCCATTTCGCTGCAGCGGGATCTAAACCCGAAACCCTAAACCCTGAACCCTACGTATATTTAATGCGTCAGCACAAGCCTTCGCTAGGACCGATTAGCCGGTGCTCATCAATCTTCAGAACCAAGCCCAGCCCAACATCCAAAAAGCTTCCTAGACCCTGAACCCTCAACCCTAAACTTACGAACGTGTGGGTGAAACAATTGAAGCGGCGCGCGGGGAGCTTCCATGAAATCTGCATCTGCTCTCTTCACGACGGTTTGGGTTTGGGTTTAAGGTTTAGGGCTTCGGCCTACGACGGAAGCTCAAGGATACAGGGCTTCATCAGCGTGTAGGGTTTCAGGGTGGAGGGTTCATGGGATGTCAATCGTTGTAAGGTTTAAGGAGGAAAGCGTGAAACTTGATTCTTTCTCGAGTATCGTTTCTGCCGCAGTTTCGAAGCCCTCTTCCTCTCGTGCAAGCCCTCCTTAAGCCCTCAACCCCAACCCTCAAACCCTAAACCCTAAACCCTAAACCCTTAAACCTTAAACCCTCAAGCCTAAACCCTAAACCCTAAACCCTAAATGCTAAACCCTAAGCCCCAAACCCTAAACCCTCGCGGCCTGCACTGCCGCTCACCGTCCTTCAGTGTCGCCACATCTCCGCCCATCCACTCCGCAGCATCCTCAAGGGAGAAGTGCTCCTGGAGTTTAGGGATTCGGCTTTAGGGCCTTAAGGGCCTTAACCTTAAGAGCCTTTAGGGCCTTAAGGGCCTTAAGGGCCTGCCTTAAGGGCTTAGGGCGGTTTAGGGTTTAGGGATGGCTCATATGTCATAAGGTTTAGGGCGGCCCCGAAACCCTAAGCCAAGAGGGTAAGGAGCTCGTCGGCTTCATGGCGTTTTGGGCTGACAAGGTCGAAGGTTAGTTTCATAGTCCCTTGATATGGTCCCTTGCCCGCTTGAAAGGGTTCCGATCTATGAGCACTTGACATTTGTAGGGTATATAAGAGGTACATAAGGGGGCCCCCATTGCAAGGGACCCTGAAACCACCCTAAGACAAGGTTTAGGGAGCTTGACCTAACCCCTGAACCCTGGACTCGTTTTTCGACCTTTGCCGCAGGTGGGCCAGGGGGGTTTCTGGTGGTCCATTTGTGGTACGCATTTCGGGCTTAGAGTTTTTCCTCCTTCACCACCAGTCCTTGAAGTCGCCAAACTCGTTGTTGGGCTTGATTTTGCAGAACTTCGTGTAAATGGTCGTCTCGATCTAGCAGGAGGTGCGGAGAATCGGACATTCCGAGTCAGGTTCGCGGTTTGAGCTTAGCGGTCCGAGGTTAAAGCCAAAAAACACCGTCCACGTCCTTGCATGAATGGTGCCCCAAGACCCGAAACCCCCAAGCCCTGGGGTTTATCCCCCAGGTCCGGCGCAGCCGAAACCGCACACCCTACCCTCCCTCCCTCGAAGACGAGGCTCCAACTACATAGACCTAGAAGTACCCGGAACCTCCAAGTAGGGTTTAAGGGAACTCCAGGATAGGGTTAAGGGATGAGGTGTGTAGCGAACCCTAAACCCTAAACCCTGAACCCTAAACCCTAAACCCTAAACCCTGTTTCAGGGTTCAGGATGCGAGGCTCTGGGCTCTTGGGTCCTCGCTGCCATATGAAACGTAGTGGAGCCCCTTGAAAGCCGCGAAGTTCCAAAGTGGCTTAGGGTTTAGGGTTTAGGGTCGAGGGTTTGGGGTTTAGGGTCTATGGGTTGCAAATCCTTTAAGCGATATAACGCTTGCCAATCGCGGAACATGTTTGTGAATGCATGAAAATGTTGAGGGTTTTGACCTTGGTCCCGCTACCTTTGTTTGACCTCGCTTCTACTTGTCTATGTTGACATACTAAAAGCACCAGTTCGTAAGTCTAAGGATGTTGTTCCTTTACTTACCCTAAACCCTAAACCCTAGAACCCTTCCGGTTTAGGTTTTGGTTGCCTTTTGGTTCGCCCTCCTGCCCGGGCATGGCTGCCCCGGCAGGGACACGACAGCAACTGACCACTGCCAATCATGTAGGGTTTAGGGTTTAGGGTTTAGGGCTTGGGGTTTGGGGTTTGGGGTTTGGGGTTTAGGTTTTAGGGTTTGGGGGCCTTGCCTCGCCATTCACAACATAGAGTCGCAGCTCCAAGTCGTGCTCGACAAACTCTTGCACGATCAATGCCTTCTTTCGGTGCTCAAGATTCTTTGCCTCACGTGTTGTTGTTTTTTTTGGACGGGTGTAAGGGTGAACCCTGAACAATAAGCTCCAACCCACACACACACACACACCCACCGAACCCAAGCCGTATCTCACGCAAGGCTTAAGGCAGCACGACAGTTATAACCCCCCAAAAAACCACGTTGCAGCCCCAAACCCCAAACCCTGAAGCCTTAAGACCGTAGATTTCAATCCTGAAGCCCGAAAACAGCACAGCTGTGGAGACTTGCTGCTCTGTCCCGAAGCAGTGAATGGCGGACTTGAAACTGCCCCCCCCCCCCCCCTCCAAGGGCCTCCAAGTTGTGAGGCTGCCCGGTGTACTCATCACTGATTTCGATGGCCTGCGAGGGGCTTCGGGGCTTGGGGTTTTCGGCTCTCGCGGCCAGCGGATGAGGTTTTGGGTGTAAGGGTTCGGGTTGAGGGCTTAGAGGGTGAGCGCGCAATGTGGGTTGAAGGATTGAGGGGCTCTCCTACGACCCCAGGCAAAGCAGAACAAAAGCTCAAAAAACCCGACGGAAACTCTTTTGCTCTTCTGGCTTCCGAAGTCGCACAGATAAGGCCCCTCAACCCGAAGCCCATGGCACGCCAAACCCAGGTGTATGCACCAACCAAAAAAGCGGACACAGGTCCTAAGATTTCAGGATTCCTATATTCGAGCAGGCCCTTTTTACAGAGATCAGCCCGAAATTTCACAGTGCAAGATTGACATACAAGAAGGGAAAAAACCGCATCCTGAGCCCACATCAAGGCTCACTGCCTGTGTCAGCTGTGACAGGGCCGTCTCCAAACCATCTTGTCCTGTGCCGATGACAGCAGATCCAGTAAGGCGGTTCTGGGAGAGATCTCAGCCCTAAACCCTAAACCCTAAACCCTAAATTCCCTAAATTCCCTAAGGCCTGGCAACCGGGGATGCATTGAAACCTCGATCTCTCGCGTCACATCGCCGTTATGGCACTTTTTCTGGGATACCGGACGTGTGATTGCAACGGTGTGTCAGCCACGGTTCATTCTCGGCTGTACCAAAACGTGCAAACAAACTCGCTCATCAATGAGCCCCCGAAGCAAAGCACATGCTGGGCTCTTAGGGTTTAGGGTTTAGGGTTTAGGGAATTCCGGGGATTCAGAGCCCGGCCTTCCCAGTACTTCACGTCCAGGGCCTCCCAGGAGAAGCCGAGCTTGGCAACTCCCTTTGTGATGCCTCGCACAGGACGGCCGGTTTAGGGTTTAGGGTTTAGGGTTTAATTAGGGTTTAGGGTTTAGTGTTGAGGGTTTAAGGTTTAGGGTTTAGGGAAGTGAAAAATATTCTAAATGTGATTCTCTTGAACCCACAAAGGGGAAATATCAAACATCCGAACAGCCGACCTAGACTCACACGTCACGGGACATGGCGCGTAAGTTTGGATCCTTGCATGCCCTTGATCTGACTTTAGCACTTTACCTACCCTGGCTGTACATACGCAGATGTATGCTCTCTCTCTCTACATATACATGGTATATGTAGATATTGGTAGAGGGAGCCTAGAGGGAGCCTAAACCCTCAACCCTCAACCCTCAACCCCAGACCCCAAGCCCCAAACCCTAAACCCTCAACCCTAAACCCCGAACCGTAAGCCCTAAACCCTAAACCCTAAACCCTAAACCCTAAACCCTAAACCCTAAACCCTACACCCCTAAGGCACCCTGTGAGGCCTCCCTCCGAGGCTGCCTCACCGCGGAGGGACCGTTGCTTCTGCCGCACCTTTTCCTGGGCATAGGGTTTAGGGTTTAGGGCTTCGGTTTAGGGGAGGCTGGGGCTCAAAGGGCTTGAGCTTCAGGGGCTTCAAGGGGTTTAGGGTTTAGGGTTTCGGGGTTTGGGGTTTAGGGTTTAGGGGTTTAGGGGTTCAGGGTTTAGGGTACGGGGTTCAGGGTTTATGGGTCACAACCCCGGGCGGACTTCGAACGCGGTTCCAGGCCCACGTGCAGACCGCCAAAGGGTTTAGGTTTGAAAGGCTAAGGGTTGGAGATTTCAGGGTTCATGGATCCGTGACTCAGGGTGTTCGACAGACCAGTTTGAAGAACTGGAAGACGGCTTGTAGGTACCACTCGCCCTAAGCCTCATTCCTTACACCCCCCCTCCCCCAACCCCAAAACCCCAAACCTGTATCGCTCGAAAATTACACTCCTGTGCGGGCCCTAAGCCCTAACCCTAACATTGAACCCTTATTAATTAACTTACATGTGTGGTTTTTTGTTTCCCCAGGTTGGTTTCAAGGCTGCAGGTGCTGAAGGGACAGCAGTATTTATAGCCCTGGCCACAACGTACTTACTGAGTGTTTGGGGTGGTGGATTTAAGGGCATCAACCCCAAGCGTAGTAGGTTTACCGCCGTGAGTCTTGAAGCCTCACCCTCAACGCCAAGCCCACATCCAAAATCTCCATCCCTAAGCCGTAGAAGACCTAAACCCCAGACCTTAATCCCAAACCTTAACCCCTAAACCTACCTTAATCTCCATAACATGAGTCCTCAACCCCGAACCCAAATCCTAAATTGTCAGCCCTGGGGACCCTAAGTCTTCAGCCCTAAGCCCAAAGCCCTAAGCCCCAAACCCGAAGCCCAGAACTCCAAGCAGTTGGCTCGTTCCAAGGGGCCAAACTTTGAAAGGCCCACTCCGCGGCCTTCGGGCAAGGTAGTTGCTTATGGGTCCGGGTCTAGGGTTTGCAGGCGTAAGTCACTGAAAGAAGGTGATAGCCAGTATATAGCCCCAACAATCTTCGCCCATCAGCCTTCAAGTGGTGGCTGCTTTGGTTCGCATGGGGACGCTCTCGGGACGTTTAGAGGGGTGCTTTAGGTTTCCAGACCCAAGAGTAACCTGGGAATGAAATGGGTACCCTTTTTGGCTTAAAGGAGCTGATAGGGTAGCAAAGGCCTAAGCCCTCCAAAAGGGGATAAGGTGGTGCCCAGGCTTGCTGGTCAAAAGGGAACGCAGCCCCAGGTTAAGGGCAGACTCTCCCTGCAAGGGCCTTCGGGGGCCCGCGGGCAAACAGAAAGCAGGCCCTAAACCCTAAACCCTAAACCCTAAACCCTAAACCCTAAACCCTAAACCCTAAACCCTAAACCCTAAACCCTAAACCCTAAACTCCAGCGAACACACAAATGACCCCAAAAAGGTGGGCATGACTGGACATCCTAGTGGATTTTGTTTCGGCTTAGGAAACAATTGCCGTTGTTTACAGAGGGTGTAGGGGGCTTGGGGTTTAGGGTTTAGGGTTTCGGGTTTAGGGTTTAGGGTTTAGGGTTCGTGAACTGAGGCTGTGTTAGGGCAGCTCCACTCCGAAGCCCCACTTGAAGAGCCCTTTCTCCCGCACGTTGTGTGAGGTGGGAGGTGAAGGCCCAGCTCGGAAGGGTTGAGAGTTCAGGGCTTAGTGTTCAGAGGGTTTCGGGGTATCGAAATACTGTCCAAATAAGATAGGCCCCCGTAATCCCTAGACCCTCGACCCTACACCGCGGCCTGCCTTTTCACAGTCGCCTCCGTTCTGCTCTATAAGCATGCGCGGAAGCGCCACCGTTGCGGGCAGGTTTAGGTGCGGTACCTTGGCATTCAGATTTGTTCTAGCGTGTACACCCTAAACATCCCTAAACCCTGAACTCTAAGCCCTAAAGGCTGGGATTTAGGACCTCAGGATTTGCTGTTTCAGGGTTTTTTTGAGGTTCAGGCTTCTCAGGTCCGGGGCGACAGGCCCAGAGCCTCAGGACCCCGGCGGCCGTGTGACTTTGCCTTCAAGGAATCCTTTTCTGTGAGGCCTTTAGGGTTTAGGCGACACAGTTCCCTACTGAGCACCTACAATCATGAGCCCGTTCTAGCGGTTCTAGCGATTGGGTGTTTGTGCTGAAGGCACAACACGGTACGTCACCAGAAAGACAGACCTCCCGAAAAGCTTCAGTCGAACCCCCCCAAAAAAACATGCAACACTTTGCGTTTGACCCGTTCTGCATGCCGGGTGCCAATGCCATGTAGTAAGTCCACCTCTCAAGCAAGGACCCACATCTCGCAGTGCTATCACAAGACTTGTAGTGCTTCCTGCTGCTGGAGGTACTACACTGCCATGGTGGCTGTGCAACAGCCCGACCCTAGGGCCTTAATAATTAGAACACGGTTTCTTGGGGGATTCTTGAAAAATATTATTGTTATTATTCCAACCCTTTTTTTAGAGCCTAGTCTGCCCCTCAGAAGTCGTATGATGCTCACACACTCCGCCTGGCCTCTTGAGTCTCTTTTACGGATTCACTGTTGAATCAGGATTGTTTGGGGTCGGTTAAGGCTGTAGGATGATTCATCGCAAGGCTTGTTGGGGTTGAGAATTATGGTTTTCGTGCCTAACATGATACAGCTGTTACCCTAAACCCTAAACCCTAAACCCTAAACCCTAAACCCTAAATCCTAAATCCTAAACCCTACATTGCAAAAAAAAACCAACGGATACTTCAAAGCCTTGAGGCTTTCGGGTCTTAAGGTTCTGCGGCGTTCAGGCTTCGGAGGTTTAGGGTTTAGGGTCGTTTAGGGTCTTTGGGTTGAAGGACGCCAGGTGTAGGGCGTTTAGGGTTTAGGGTTTAGGGTTTAGGGTTTAGGGTTTAGGGTTTAGGGTTTCGGGATTCTTAGAAGGCCTACAGTAAGTTCGCTTTTGTTTGGGAAGGCGGGCCTGGATGTCTTCACAGCGATGTCCCAAACGCGACATCCCAACCAAAAAGAACAGGCTAGGCAACCCAAAAGCAAAACAAGTGAACATCGCGCACTCCTCAAGAGCCCAGTTAAACCAACCCTAAACCCTAAACACTAAACCCTAGACCCTACACCCTCAACCCTAAACCTGCCTCTTGGAGGCCAAAATCTCGTAGAAGCCGGAGTCGTGCGGGAAACGACTTGGGATTCCTGGGGGCATTTGGGAGGGTTCAGGGTTTAGGGTTTAGGGTTTAGGGTTTAGGGTTTAGGGTTTAGGGTTTAGGGTTTAGGGTTTAGGGAACTTATTAAACGGGGCTTGAAGGGCTCTTGTTTCAAAAGGGGCTTTAAGGGGTTTTAGGGTGTAGGGTTTAAGGCTTAGGGCGTCTTTATTCAAAAAGAAAGGGGCTGTGAGGGCTCTTTTTGTTAAAGGGGCTTCAAGGGTTCATGTATAGGTTTAGGTTTTTAGGGTTTGGGGTTTAGGGTTTAGGGTTTTGTACAAGAAGGAGCTTAGGGTTTCGAGTCGATGGCCGAAGGCTCCGACGCCTCAGGAGATGGAACCCTCTTCCAAGGGATCCTCCCCAACTCCCCCGCCTAAACCCTAAACCCTAAACCCTAAACCCTAAACCCTAAACCCTAAACCCTAAACCCTAAACGCCTAAACCCTAAACCTTGGGGGCTCTGTGAACATGATTGCTGCCCGGCGTGCCCGCTCGCTCAACGGCTTGCATCATCTGGAAGAAGGCCTCCCCATTCTGGGGCTTAGGGATGTTTAGGGTTTAGTTTTTAGGGTTTAGGGTTTAGGGTTGGGGGCCATGTAGCCTGTAGGGCCTGGAGCTTGGGGATCAAACGAGAATTCATGCAGACTCGTTGCTTAGGATGTCGGGCTTTCGAATTTTGGGGGGTGGGCTGAAAGGGGTTTAGGCTCCAGGCTCTTCCGGGGTGCTGTGCTGTGGGATTCGGGTACTTATCGCAACAAAATGAAGATCACACTATACTAACAGCACGAAATGACACATTCTACGTTAACATCCTGAGTTGAAATGCTCTTAAGATGAGACTATACTAGTGGGTGAACCCCCAAACCCCCAAACCTAAAAACCCAAAACCCTGAACCCAAAACCCCAGAGCCTAAAGCCAAAAACCCCTCAGGTAGATGCCTTCTGATCAACCAACGCAGCGCCGCCATCACCGCCAGTCTCGCTGTTTGGCACGCAGTGCTCTTCGAAGCCCGTGGGGTAGAGGTGGTACATCGCGCAGACCTCAACGTTGATGCGACTGGGGGGGGGGGGGGTGCGCTTTAGAGTTTAGGGTTTAGGGCTCAGGGTTTAGGGTTCAGTTTCTTGAAAGCTTCGGCGTGTAGGTGCTTTGGCGATTCGGGGCTTGAGGGGCTTGGTGGTTTGCGTTTTCGTTGCTGTGGGGCGCTTAGGGGCTTTAAGGGGAGAGGGCTACCCGAAAATACTTCTTGTGAATCCTAAACCCTAAACCCTACACCCTACACCCTACACCCTAAACCCTGAAATCAGGCCAAACCCGGGGAGCCTTCTTGGCTCGGCGCATGGGATGATGGTTGCCGAAGATGAGGTGGGCAGCATCAGCGACCTTGATCATATCTGACTTGTCCTCGATGTAGACCGTCCAAACCTTGGGATGAATCGAGGGATTGAGGGTTTCGGGTTTGTAGGGTTGACAGGGTATGTGGCGTACATAGGGTGCTTTGTAGGGTATGTAGGGTTTACAGGGTATATAGGGTTTATAGGGTACAGAGGGTGGTCCTATAGGGTTTATAGGGCAAAGAGGCGTATATAGAGTAGGGCGTCCTCTATGTAGACCGTCCAGACCCTGGGATGAACTAAGGGGGGATGAACTACGGGATGTAGGGTTTTGGGGTTTGTAGGGTTTCTAGGGTATATAGGGTAAACAGGGTATGTAGGGTAAAAAGGACTTATAGGGTTTTTCGGGTTGATAGGGTTTATAGGGAGGTCAGAGTTGATGCGATTGAGGTTTTGTGGTTTCGGGGCCAGAGAGTCCGTTGAACTGGGGCCTTGTCTTGGGGGATACCTGGCACCTCGGTGTTGTGACTGGTGCCTTGAGCTGCTATGGCCACTTCTCTAAATGATGGTCCCTTTTCGGGTTACTTTTACAAGGTGGCCCTTATACCCAAAAAGGGAGCACCATCGCTGCTCTTGTCCCCTTCTAAAAGTCCGACCACAAGTGTCAGCGAGAGAGAGAGAGAGAGAGAGAGCTGCGCAGCACGGTGATGACCGTGGGCAGGCCAAGCATTTATAGATCATGCCCGGCCAAACAATCCCTAAGTCCCTAAACCCTAGACAACCTATAAGCCGTCATATAAACCTTACAAACTTTAAACCCTTCTCCCCGAAGCCGGCCTCGTACTCGGTCGATAAGTACTGCTGAAAGTGGTCGCAGTACGCATCGATGAATATGTCCGAGACTGAGCTGCCTGTCTGCAGACCTAGCCCTTAAACCCGAAACCCTGAGCCCCCAAAACCCCAAAACCCCAAAACCCCACAACCCCAAAACCCCAAACCCTAAGCCCGTGCTGCTGCCTTCGTTACGGAGCCGCGTCTTCGGTTGTTAGGAATGTGGGTGCGCAAGCTGGCATATACTCACGAAGGTGCAACGTCCGTAGGACGATCTCAGTTTGGTGGAAGGGTTGCCCACTTACTAGCCGTTCATGTCCGAATGCCCCACAAGTTCTCTAGAACGCCTGGCGCACATGTGTTTGGCGAGCCTGCATCGCTCCAAACATATCCGTCCACCCAATAGGCTTCACACTGCTCATCTGCGGGGCTTCGGCTTCCGGGCTTAGGGTTCAGGGTTCAGACCCCTGAAGCCTCAGGTTCCGCGGGCCTGTCTCTCCCCACTGCGCCGGAGCGACGATCTCGTTCAAGCCCCCCCAGCGGAAGGTGAGGATGGCCTGGGGGCTCGGTGCTCAGGATTGAGCACTCTGAACAAACCCACAAACCCCACAAGCCCCAAAAGCTTCTACCTTACAAAAGACACCGCCGTGGCTTTCAGCGAAGCCGAACAACTTGACCAGAGTCAGAACCAGACCAAATGCCGTTCAGCAAGACGCAGAGCTCAACTCCAAAACCCTGGTGAACGGACGCTAACTTTGGGCTCATGTACGAGTTCGGGTTTAGGGCTTGCCTGGGGCTTAGGGATACTTCGGGCAGCAGCCTGACAGCTGGAGCTGTAGTGTCGGTTTAGGGTTTAGGGTTTGGGTTTAGGGTTTAGGGTTTAGGGTTTAGGGTTTAGGGTTTAGGGTTTAGGGTTTAGGGTTTCGGGTTTAGGGTTTAGGGCAGCTGGAGCTGTAGTGTAGATGCATGGCAGGGAACGAGTTCCGGCTCCGAGCCAGCATCGACGAGGCTCTGCTTGCGGCTGCTGCCTGCGCCTGCACTCACACGGTCCAGAGCTTCATGGTACAGGGTTGGGGGGTTCGGTGTTTAGGGCTTCGGTGGATTATGGACTCGAAGTTACTGGCTCGTGCTTCGAGAGGCTCGCTGGCACACTGTGCCCCTGAAGCAGAGTGGCTTTGAGCTGGGACAGCTTCAAGCCGAGGGCGAGGTTATTTCGGAGGGCCTATACTCTGCGACCTATGTCTTACCGACCCTTGAAAGAAGTTCTCAAGTCTCGGCCTGTCCGTCTCTTCACGTACTGGGACGGAAACCACTCCGTCCAGCCAGTGCCGCTGTCGGCCATGTGGCCTCTCTGCGTGAAGAAGTATGGCCAGGAATACTCCACCTGTGCGTTGAGGAAAAGAGACGACAACCCTTCTTCAAAACACACAGAGAGTGGGCGTGCTTTGAGACATGCTCACATGGGAGTTTATGACATACAAGGCGACCCCGATAATAGACCCACCCCAAATAGGTAGGAGTCCCTTATAGAAAGGACACCAGGAAGGTAACTCCAAATTCGGAAGCCCCTCAGATATCTGATTCGGTACATTGTCTCTCTGTTTGGAGTGCTAGACCTTCACATCGCCACCGTGCACATTCGGCTGTTGGTCGGCATGGACGCGTGCGGGCACCCAGCCGTCCGAAATTCCACTTCGAGGGCGGTAGGCACCGTGCTTGGGATCAAGTACAGCCTCGGCATCTCTTACCCCTAAACCCTAAACCCTAAACCCTAAACCCTAAACCCTAAACCTTAAACTGAGGGCTTGGAGCTGCTTTGCTTGGTACAATGTACGGCAATGAGATACGGCTTATGTCACATACTTGACCATTTGATAAGTATGTATTGACCAACATGAGGAATATTTTCGGCCAACAGCAATAAAATTCGTTGACTAAGTGCTGAGTATGAGCTGATATTCGGCCGACATCTTGTCAAGTGGATGAGTAGGTACTTGAGTAGATGAGTAAATTCTTAGAGTAGATGTGTAGCGTCTCGAGAACTTTGCATGCTGCACCAAAACCTAAATCCGCACACACATATATATATATATACACATACACATATGAAAATGCCAATGTAGTGTCACAGCACGTTGTGACCTCCGGGGGTCCGGCCAAGTACTTGCGATCCGGTCTGCAACGCTTGCACATCCGGTAGAAGACCAGCACATCATCACCCCGCTTGAATGGAGCCTTGGGTGTGGTTGGGTGAGGTTTAGGGCTTGTGTAGTTCTCGAAAATAGAGTCCCTTTTTGGCATCCCATTTTAAGAGGGTGCCGCCTCGTAATGGGTACCCAAAAAGGAACCCTAGTTTAGGAAACTACCCGCTTAAGGTTTAGGGTTTGGGGGTTAAGGGATTTGGCCCGTCCACGTTCCAATCGCCTTATGGATGTATTGGTGCCGCCGGAGAGTGGGCGACTGCTGCAGCGAGGAATATCTTAGGTCTTATGCTCCCCCATTTCTCGCCATCATGGCCCCAGCAGTCTTGTGAACTGCCAATACGCTGCGATGCATTCTCACGATTCGGCTCCTTCATAGATCTTTGTTGAGGTTGAGGGGGCTTATTATACAGTAACTCTTGCTCAAAAGAGCGCGCGCAGCGCTGGCGACACAAAAAGTGACACGGCTCATGCAAGCAGCATTGCCAGAACGTGAGAGCATGACCTGCAAGCCTTGTCATCTGGACAGTCCCGCACAGCTCTGTCAGGGTTTAGGGTTTAGGGTTTAGGGTTTAGGGTTTAGGGTTTAGGGGAACAAGCCCCCTTCTCTCTCCTCTCCGGCTTTCCCTTGCGGGACAGTTGTTTGTTCGGGACGCAGCAGCGCAAGAACAACTGATATTTTGGGTTTGGGGTTTAGGTTTCGCCCTCCCAGTTGCATCCACGAAGCCTCCATCGTTGCACTAACGTTGAGACCACTGCCCCTTCCAGCGCATGTGCTCTGCGCGGTCGCAGCTTAATACAGGACGTGAAGCCTACAGCGATTGCAGTGTTGGTGACTGTTCCTGCTCCAAGCCACGAGAACCTAAACCCAGAACCTTCATCCAATGTCTTTTAGCAGGTCTACGTTAAAATCACCACCCTAAGCCCTGAACTTGTGGAATCTCGAGCTTTCGCTGCAGTCTTCTACCCTCATGGCCCACAGAATTTCAAAACCTGAACATCCTAAACGCTGAGCCCTAAAAGAACCCGAGCTGCCACGTGCCCCTCCGAGCCCCTAAGACAAAATTGGAGCTGCAAGGCCATGGTGGCGCGTAGTTTTTTGGGGGTTTAGGGTTTAGGGTTTAGGGTTTAGGGTTTAGGGTTTAGGGTGGGAGTTAGGGCTCTCGGACGTGGGAGATATGCCAGGTGTAGAGGTTAAAGCCTTAGGAGGTTACTTGGAGGTTCAGGGTACTTATAACCCCAATTAGAACTGTACTTCTAAGCCCCTAAGTCTTCCAAGTAGGTTAGAAGTAGAAGTATGACTGGGGTTCTAAGAACCCTTGAACCTTCAAGTAGGGTGCATGTGGCCTCAGGACCCTAGGATTTGCAGGGCGCCATAGAGCCCTACACTTCCCACCACCCATCGAGACATCTCGTTTAGGGTTTCGGGTTTCGGGTTTAGGGTTTAGGGTTCTGAAAACAAAGAAGGTGTGTCCATGTAGAACTACCAGGCTTTTCATCCTCTACAGCTACGGCTTCTGCTCGACCGAAAACACCTGTGCCACCCGTGAGTGAAAGACTTGCACAAGGCACTTCGGCTTGGTAGCTGACAATCCGCGTCCTCTACTTGAAGGTTCATGGTACTTACTAACCAATTATAACTGTACTTATATCCCTACTTATAATACCCTAAAGGGCCTTATAGGGGTTAGCCCAATTATAAGTAGGTTTATAAGCCCAGTTATAATTGGTTAGTAAGTACCATGAACCTTCAAGTAGGCCCCACGTTCACAGGAGCCCTGTCTCTTATATCTCTTCCTGTGCCTATTCTTTTTGGAGATTTTTCCAAGGGGTTTAAGGATTGTCCCTTTGTGCAAGGCTCGCAGCTACGCTTTGGTCGAACCTCGTCCCACGGCAGTCTTTTCGTGCAGCTTCTGAAGGACATTGCCTTGAAGTAAGGCCATGTTCTCATCATCAGCAGCTGATGGCATCTCTGTCGAAGCCTTGTCTCCACCACCCCTCTGTCTTGCAGCCAACACACACAAAGCCCTAAACCCTGAACCCAAAAGCCCTGAACCCAAAAGCCCTAAACCCAAAAGCCCTAAGCCCTAAGCCCTAAGCCCTAAGCCCTAAACCCTAAACTTACACTTCAACCCCCCAAAAAAGCCGGAAAAACACCTTAGGTTCGCCGAAGCCCCACATGTATTGGCTGAGCTCGGCACAGAGGTTGGTGATCCAATGCGTGTACTCTCCAACCGGGAGCCTCAGGAACCCCGATTCGTTTAGGGTTTAGGGTGTAGGGTGTAGGGTTTAGGGTTTAGGCTTTGGGGTTTGGGGTTTAGGGTTTAGGGCTTGGGTCCAGCTTTGGGGTTTTTATGCTTTAGGGGTTATGGCTTCAGGGGTTCCAGTGCTTCAGATTTTCCAGGGGTTCAGGGGTTGAAGGGTAAGAGTGTTTTTTTTTTTTTGTTGCGGGTGCTTTTTTGCTGTGGGTGCGGGGGCGCGTTTTTTTTTTTGCTGCGGGTGCGGGGGCGCGTTTTTTTTTTGCGGGGGGCGCGTTTTTTTTTTTTGCTGTGGGTGCGGGGGCGCTTTTTTTTTGTTGCGGGTGCCGTGGGGGCGCCTTTTTTTTTCTGCGGGTGCGGAGCGTTGTTGCTGTTTTCTCTATATTTTACTATGAAAACCTTTATTTTCTCTAATTTTCAATAGGGAAACCTCTTTCTCCTCTATATTTGAATAGGAAAACCTCTTTCTTCTCTATATTTGAATATGAAAACCTCTATTTTCTCTACATTTAGCATGAAAACCTCTAGTTTTTCTAATTTCTCTATACTTCAATTCGAAAACCTCTATGTCTCTCTATTTTATAACTAAAACCTCTATTTCTCTCTATTTTTGTCTATATCGTCATAGTTTTCCTCTATATTTAATGAGGAAGACATAAGAGAGGAATACATGAGAAACTTATTCTCTGTGTTATCTCAATATGTGACTTGCAATTAAAAGTGTTTTTGTTCCTCTTGTCCTAATTTTAATAGGAAGCCCATTATTTCCTCTGTCTCTGAATAGGCAAACCTCCATTGTCTTAACAGTTGAACATGAAAACCTCTATTCTCTATATTTGAATATCAAGACCTCTACATTTTAATATGAAAACACTTTGTATTTTCGCTATATTTTCGTATGAAAGCCTCTAGTTCCTCTATGTTGTCATAGGAAGCATCTAATTTCTCTATATTGTATAGCGAAAACCTCTATTGTTCTATAGTTTCTTATTTTGTCAGTATTTTCAGACTTCTTCTCTTTATTTCACGAGGAAGACATGAGAGAGGAATACATGAAAAGCTAATTCTCTATATTGTCATAAGAGTACATGCATTATCTCTATTTGTGACTCGTAGACAACAAGTGTTTTTGTTCATGTCTCATAACACAAGCTCTATTTTCTCGATTCTTTACTAAGAAGACGTTTATATCTCTATTTTTAAACGGAAAATTCAACTTCCACCATAAGGTCTGAATTTTCGTAGGAAAGCAAGCATATATTCCCTCTTTTTTCAGGGGGTTGGGGGCTGCGCAGACCGCCGCATTTGAAAACACAATGCTCGCATCATGGGTTTGGAAGGGATTCGTAAGCTTTGAAGCAGGCTTGCCGGCTAAAAAAAGCGGGGGGGTTGGGGGGGGCGCAGCCCCCCCCATTTGCAAACACAATGCTCGCATCATCATGGGTTTGGAAGGGATTCGTATGATTGAAGCAAGTTTGCCCGGCTAAAAAGCGCAGCCCCACCCCCCCCCCCCTTTCAAGCGGGGGGGAATGCTCTCATGATGGGTTCGGAAAGGATTCATTTGCTTTGAAGCAAGCGGCATGGCTTTAAGAAGCGGGGGGGTTGGGGGGGGCGCAGCCCCCCCCTATTTGCAAACCCAATGCTGGCATGATAGGCTTGGACAGGATTCATATGCTGAGAAGCGACCTGGCACGGTTTTAAAGAGGGGGGAGGGTTGGGCGGGGTGCAGCCCTCCCTCCACCGTTTGCAAACTCAATGCTCGCATGATGGCCTTGGGAAGGATTCAGTGCTTTGAAAACGCTTGCACAGTTTAAGAGGGGGGGCGTTGGGGACGGGGTTGGGGAGGAAATTGCAAAACAAAGAACGTGGGGGGTGGGGAGCAAAGGGGGGGTGCGTTTTTTTTTTTGCTGCGGGTGCGGGGGCGCGTTTTTTTTTTGCTGCGGGTGCGGGGGCGCGTTTTTTTTTTTGCTGCGGGTGCGGGGGCGACACGCGCCAGGTCACTCACTCACCTGGGGGGTGGGGAGGAAGGGGGGGGGGAGGGGGGGGGCGGGCGCGTTTTTTTTTGCTGCGGGTGGGGGGCGCGTTTTTTGTTTTGCTGCGGGTGCGGGGGCGACACGCGCCAGGTCACTCACTCACCTGGGGGGTGGGGAGGAAGGGGGGGGGGAGGGGGGGGGGGGTGCGTTTTTCTTTTGCTGCGGGTGCGGGGGCGCGTTTTTTTTTTTTGCTGCGGGTGTGGGGGCGCGTTTTTTTTTTGCTGCGGGTGCGGGGGCGACACGCACCAGGTCACTCACTCACCGGGGCGGCCCCCGAAAAAAGCACCCACAGCAAAAAAGCACCCACAACAAAAAACAAACACGGGTTCCGGGGTTGAAGCGGTTCGGGGCTCCAGTCATAGAACGTTTGCCCCTCCCGGGTTGCTGTCTCGCATAACCTTTCGCGGACACGAGTGAAGTACCCCAAGCCCGAGGCCCTAGGCCCTAGGCCCTAAACCCTAAACCCTAAACCCGAAACCCGAAGCCCTAAACCCTAAACCCTAAACCCCTAAAACCGAAACTCCTCTCTTGGAGCCTAGCTCGAGCTCGCTGCCCACGTGCGCAAGCAGCGTCTGAAAGAAGTGGATGTTCTTGGGAAAGATGTTGGCCTCTAGGGTTTAGGGTTTCGAGGTTGTGGCTTATCAAGTTTTAGATGATCGGAAAGTTTTGGGGTTGGGGGGATTCTGGGAGGTTTTACGGAT